GTTCCCGAAAGACAGAATGGGATGGAATACTTCCAAACTCGTTCTATGAGGCCAGCATTACCTGAATTGCAAAACCAAAGACCCCACCAAATAGGACAATTATAGTCCAATATCCCTGATGAACATAGATGCAAAATTTCTCAACAAGATACTAGCCAATAGGATCCAATAGTACATTAAGAAGATGATTCACCATGACCAAGTGGGATTTATCCCCAGGATGCAAGGCTGGTTCAACCCTTGGAAAGCAATCAATGTGATTGATCATATCAACAAGAGAAAAAACAAGAACCATATGATCTTCTCAATAGATGCAGAGAAAGCATTTGAAAAAATACTGCATCCATTCCTGATCAAATCACTACACTTCAGAGTGTAGGGATAGAGAGAAGATTCCTCAGCCTCTTAAAAGCCATCTATGAAAAGCCCATATCAAATATCATTCTCAAGGTGGAAACACTGGGAGCCTTTCCCTTAAGATCAGAAACACGACAGGGATATCCACTCTCACCACTGCTATTCAACATAGTACTAGAAGTCCTAGCCTCAGCAAAACAAAAAGAAATAAAGGCATTCAAATTGGCAAAGAAGTCAAACTCTCCCTCTTCGCAGATGATATGATACTGTTCGTAGAAAACCCAAAAGTCTCCACCCCATGATTGTTAGAACTCATATAGCAATTTGGCCGTGTGGCAGGATACAAAACCAACGCCCAGAAATCAGTGGTATTTCTATTCACTAACAATGAGACAGAAGAAAGAGAAATTAAGGAGTCAATCCCATTTACAATTGCACCCAAAAGCAGAAGATACCTAGGAATAAACCTAACCAAAGAGGTAAAGGATCTATACCCTAAAAACTATAGAACACTTCTGAAACAAATTGAAGAAGACACAAAGAGATGGAAAAATATTCCATGCTCATTGATTGGAAGAATTAGCATTCTGAAATTATTTTCTATGCTACCCAGAGCAATTTACATGTTCAGTGCAATCCGTTTCAAAATACCAGGGACTTTCTTCACAGAGTTGGAACAAATTATCTTAAGATTTGTGTATTATCAGAAAAGATCCTAAATAGCCAGGGGAATATTGTAAAAGAAAACCAGAGCTGGGGGCATCAGAATGCCAGATTTCAGGTTGTACTACAAAGCTGTGGTCATCAAGACAGTGTGGTACTGGCACAAAAACAGACACCTAGATCAATGGAACAGAATAGGGAATCCAGAAATGGACCCTGAACTCTACGATCAACTAATATTCGATAAAGGAGGAAAGACTATCCAATGGAAGAAAGACAGTCTCTTCAATAAATGGTGCTGGGAAAATTGAATGGCCACGTTCAGAAGAATGAAACTTGGCCATTCTCTTGCACCATACACAAAGATAAACTCAAAATGAATGAAAGATCTAAATGTGTGACAAGATTCCATCAAAATCCTAGAGGAGAACACAGGCAATACCCTTTTGAACTTGGCCACAGCAACTTCTTGCAAGATACATCCATGAAGGCAAGGGAAACAAAAGCAAAAATGAACTATTGGGCCTTAATCAAAATAATATGCTTCTGCACAGCAAAAGAAACAGTCAACAAAACTCAAAGACAACCTACAGAATGGGGGAAGATTTTTGCAAATGACCTATCAGATAAAGGGCTAGTATCCAAGATCTATAAAGAACTTATGAATCTCAACAGCAAAGAAACAAAATATCCAATCATGAAATGGGCAAAACACATGAAGAGAAATCTCACAGAGGAAGACATAGACATGGTCAACAAGCACATGAGAAAATGCTCCGCATCACTGGCCATCAGGGAAATACAAATCAAAACCACAATGAGAGACCACCTCACACCAGTGAGAATGATGGAAATTAACAAGACAGGAAACCACAAATGTTGAGGGGATGTGGAGAAAGGGGAACCCTCTTGCACTGTTGGTGGGAATGTGAACTGGTGCAGGCACTCTGGAGAACTGTGGAGGTTCCTCCAAGAGTTAAAAATAGATCTGCCCTCCGACCCAGCAATTGCACTCCTGGGGATTTACCCCAAATATACAGATGCAGTAAAATGCCAGAACACCTACACCCCAATGTTTATAGCAGCAATGTTCACAATAGCCAAACTGTGGAAGGAGCCTCAGTTTCCATCGAAAGGCAAATGGATAAAGATGTGGTCTATGTATACAATGTAATATTACTCAGCCATTAGAAACGACAAATACCCACCCACCATTTTCTTCGACGTGGCTGGAACTGGAGGGTATTATACTGAGTGAAATAAGTCAGTCAGAAAAGGACAAACATCATATGGTCTCATTCATTTGGGGAATATAAAGATTAATGAAATGTAATAAAGTGAAAGGAGGGAAAATGAGTGAAAATATCATTGAGGGTGACAAAACATGAGAGACACCTTACTCTGAGAAACGAACAAGTAGTGGTGGAATGGGAGGTGGGCAGATGGTTGGGGTGACAGGGTGATGGGCACTGAGGGGGGCACTTGGTGGGATGAGCACTGGGTGTTATGCTAAATGTTGGCAAATTGAAATCCAATTAAAAAAAGATTTTTCAAAAAAAAAGATTTTTCTAGAAAGAGATCTTATCATTATGTAGCTTGAGATTTTATAATGGAGGCTTTGTGTTTAGGTACATAAAACAAATGTTATTATTAAAGTGGAAGTAGGGGATCCCTTGGTGGCTCAGTAGTTTAGCCCTTGCCTTCAGCTCAGTGCCTGATCCTGGAGTCCCAGGATCAAATCCTGCATCAGGTTCCCTGCTTGGAGCCTGCTTCTCCCTTTGCCTGTGTCTCTGACTCTCTCTCTTTCTCTCTCTCTCTCTCTCTCTCTGTCTGTCTTTCATGAATAAATAAATAAAATAAAAATATTTTAAAAATATATAAATAATGTGGAAAATGATGTGTGGAAGATCTCTTGAACAAACAAAAATGACTATAAATGGTAGAGTATTTGGATTAGAATTCTGGAAGGATTTATAGAGGATTTAGTATTTGACATATGAAATTGAGGACAGATGTCTGGCAATTATTACTTTATTCAGAATCCAACTTGATTAAAAATATTGTTTCTTGTTATTAGAGATATCTAGACTTTTGTGTACATAGCACTTGATTATGCTATTTCTGTGTTGAGTAATTGGAAGGTAGCACCCTGGGTGGCTGAGTGGAAGAGTGTCTGCCTTTGGCTCAGGTTGTATCTTGGGGTGCTGGGATCATGTCCCACATCTCCTTGCTAAGAGCCTGCTCCTCCCTCTTCCTAGGTTTGTGCCTCTATTTCTGTGTCTCTTGTGAATAAATAAATAAAATCCTAAGAAAAAAAAATCAATCAGAAGATGTATCCTAGTCACCATCCCATTTTTACTACTAGAATTACTATTGCTCCTAGTAGGAGGGTTACTATTGTGACCTAAACCTGGCCTTTGGTCACATTTTATTTATTACAGAATGTTATCCTTAGTTTATTTCTTTTATGTAACCTAAATGGCACAATAACTTGTGAATTTCATACCTTCAATTTTTCAATCAAGAACATAAGGAAAAACAAACCTATTGAATAATTATCAAGACTCTAGTAGAAAAATGCAACTGAAAAAATTCAATTTTAAAGTAAGCAAAAATAACTTCCTCCACAGCAAACTTACCTGTTAAGTAAAGCAAGCAATGATTGTTGAGCCATTAGTAAATTTTGGCAAACTCAGACTTCTCTGATAAAGAATAATTTCTAAGCTTATCAGAGCTAAACAAGTGGGACTTAATTGGAAAGAGTTTGTTGAATTGACAGATTGATAGAAAAAAAATGTCTTTAGTGTTGCGTTTGATTTTCAGTCTCTTGAACTTCCATTTACTTTTAAGGCAATTTTTCTTTGTTGAGTTATAAAGATGTGGGTGTCAGTGTGAATTTGTGTCAGAAAAGTTTGGCTGAAATTTGTCAGGAGGTTGATTTTGTCAGTCTCTTGAATTTTTCATTGCAATTCTAATATGCCTCTGAATGAAACCAAAATTTACTTTAAAAATTGTAATATTACCCTATTTCTTTTTCACAGTCCTTTAATGAATAGTGTTTCAGAGGCCTGAATTTAAAAACCAATGTCACAGTCTAACCCTATTAAATTCTAATATCTAACTTTGTCTTTTCAAGTAGAATCCTGCCAATTGTATTGATATTAATAAGTGTCTTTATATATATATAATTGTTCAATAATAGAGTATATATAAAATGGTGTAAGTTAAAAAATATCTCTGTGAAGAGGGCATTGTAAGAGATGTGGAGAATGTGCATGTATTTAGGAGGCGTTTTAATACAATACTTAAAATTATTAGTTGTCAATGAGGAGAGAAAAAGAAAAGTACAGATAATGTTGGGGAAATTAAAGCAATTAATTATAGTGTTTGAGGTGACACTGAAGCTTTGTGCATATATATGTGCATATGTATTCTCTGGGGTTTGCTCTAAATTTTCTTTATGAATCAACAGTAATTTTTCACATCTCTGTGCATATGAAAAGTACTAAAGACAGGAACTTCTATCATTGGTTTATAAAAATCAGGATATTTCAACACAAGAAAAATATTTTATCCTTTTATATAATTTAACTTTATATCACTTATATTGCCAAGCACATACATCAATAAAGTAAGATTTCTTTGAACTTTAGTTTCTCTTTCATCTTCAAGTTAGATTTTAAAGAATGATATTAGGAATTCCATCAATAAATTTGAGTAGAAATGGCTTCATTTGAACTAATGGCTGAATAAAATAATGACATTCACATATTAAACATGATGTTTTGGTATATTATATTACACATTTTCACTTATTTCATGGAGAGTAGAATTTTTATGTGCAGTAATTCAGAAAAATGTGAGTTGACATCATGGAACTCTTCTGCACATTAGAAAATTCTTTAACTGATACTGTTTTCTTTTAGTTGTTTTATGGAATATTTGATTAAATATTCTAAACACTTCTCATTGTTCTTTAGTTTCAGCTCAAATTCTCAAGAGCAACCTTATAGCAATGGAACAACAAATCGTTCATCTGGAACGTGACATCAAGAAATTCCCCGAAACAGAAAATCAACATGATAAGTTTGTGGAGAAAATGACAATATCCTTTATTTATTTAAGCATTTTGTTTATTAGTGTCTCTCTCTCTCTCTCTCTCTCTTTCTCTCTCTCTCTTTCTCCTCCTCCTCCTCCTCTTCTCCCTCTCCCCTGCCCTCTTTCCCTCCCTCCCTCCCTCCCTCTCTGCCTGTGTGTATATGGATGAGTGTATTTACTGTGTGGTTAGTTCTAAACTTACCAGTCTATCTATTCAGACTCTCTGGGTGAATTTGCATATAGGCTGTTCTTTTATTAGTAGCAAAAATTTCAGTTCACAGTGTTTGGAACCAGGTAGAGTAGGCAAGGAAACAATTATATGAGAAAAAAATGTCATTTCTCAAGAATTTCATTTGAAGGCCCACTAGATATGCAAGGTAAGTCTTATGAGGCTTGATTAGACTGAAAACAAAACAAAAAATTTCCTTATGTAACCAGTTATTTAAAGGAAATGATCAGCATAAGATTTTTTTTGGTTAGATTCTTTTCCCTTTGCATGTATGCATGTACTTCCTGAGGGCAGACTTGCATATTCAAGGGCAATCAGAGGATGACCAATAATGAGTAGACTATAAGGATTGCAAAGGATAGGTAAAATGAATGTCTAGATGGGTGGATAGATGAATTGATCAGTAGATTATGTATTTAAATAAATTGTAGTAGTTATCTATATACCATTAAGCATTTCCTTCTAAATAACTGTTTTTAAACCCCTATTTTATGTACAGTATATTTGTATAAAGTATAGAAATATATGAAAGAAGAACTTGAGAAATAGCATTTAGCTTGAATTATTTAATGTTAAATCTGGCATCTAAAGATAAACTACATTAGACCTGGGTTTGTTTGTTTGTTTGTTTGTTTTTCAATTTTGGTTTTCAAAAGTTAAAGCCATATCCTCCTCCTCTAGGTTTAAATAAATACCTTGAACTGCTGATTGATCACCATATCTCTTGAGGGAATAAATAGTATAAACTCCTTATCTGATAATAAGTAAATTCTTTCAACAACTATATGGCAGTCACCTTGTTTCAAGGTTAAATCTATTGCCTTTTTCTTGCGATATGCTTATTTTCCTGCCAAACTTAGAAACCATGGTACTGAACTCAAATTACTTCAGAATGGCAATTTAGACTTATGTGAAAAATGGTTTTTCATTCTAAGGCTTTGTGTTCATGAATTAATACTGTGTTTTATGTGGTCTATTAGTGATGCTGAGTACTTTAATAAATGGGAACATTGGAAACATAAGTTTGTGGGTGACTGGAAGTAGGAAATCTTCAGAAATAATCTGGGGTTATATAACTTCCCACGTTAGGATATTTAATGTGAAGATTTAACTTTATTGCTGATTAGATTTTTCTTATAAATATGTCATATTGTCCTGTGGCTGGAAACACCACCTACATCTTTCAACTTTTGATTTTGATTCTTGTCTCATATATTAAAATTTAACTCCTGATCCACTTGTTATTTTTAACATTTTCTTCTATGGTTGGCTTATGACAACACAACAGCTTGCAACATTGAAGAGTCTTTGTTGCCCATTTAGGAAAAAAAAAAAAAGTAATTTCAAACCCTCATGAACTTGGCCTAAACTCTTTATTTTATTTCTGTCTTTATGCAGGTAATTAAGCACTTTAAAATGAAAATCTAGGGCCTTCTATATCTGTATGTTACAGATGAATGGTTATTCATCATTTAAGTGGCACTAATGTGTGACTATTTGTCCATAAGGGGATTGCAAACTATATTAAACTGTATTGGACTATTACTTTGCATATCATATTATTTTGAAAAACAAAATAAAATATACAGAAATGTATTTTAGGTAAAAAGTTTAGAATATTAACTTGAGTTGGTTATATCTCTAAGTTAATGAATTATGATGATAGAACTGTTGCTCAAATTATTCTTGCTTTGGAAGACTCCATTGGCACCCACTGAGAGTTTCAATCTTATGAAAAATTACAAACAAAATGCATGATCTTTGGGGTGCCTGGGTGGCTCCATCAGTTAAGTGTCTACCTTCCACTGGGGTCATGATCCCAGGGTCCTGGGATGGAGCCCCACATCTGTGGGGAGCCTGCTTCTCCCTGTCCCTCTGCCTGCTACTCTCCTTATGTTTTCTCTCTCTCTCTCTCTGCCAAATCAATATATAAAATATTTTAAAAATGCATGGTATTCATATGTATATATGTTATAGGATTTCTGGTGCCTAATTAATATTTGTCTACTCTTTTGGCACTCCAAAAGAGAAGGGTATTTTATTTAATTTTTTTTTAACAGAAGGGTATTTTAAAGTGGAATACTTGATTATGTTGTAAAATTAGAACCACAATTCTATTTTTAGTACAGGATTCTTTGTAGTGGATGGTTTTCAATGTTTCTATCCCCGGCCAATAATTTGTTTTACTTCAAGTCCCTGACCTTTAAACTGAATTAGCTCCAGGCACAAGTAGGGAAGCAGTTTCCCTTGAAAGTAACCTCACCTACTTAAAGAGTAATCTCTCTTATAAGGACTGTGAGTCAAAAACTGAATGGCACTGTCATGCCTCTTGGCTTTCAGAATAGCATGAGGGCTATAGTTAGCAACAATGAGAGACCAAATGAATCTGCTAGCTGAATCGTAACCAAATCTCCAGGTTGAGCTAAGTCGCATAGCACCTTATGTTTACCCTACTCTTTTTTCAATATTAATTGAACACTTAAAATATCCTAGGCATTGCCAAACCATGAAAATATAGTAGTGCACAAGATGGACAGTTTGACCTCAGGCTACCGATGGTCTGGCATTTACATGCTTCTTTGACTTGCTGTCTCTATGGTCAAGATCCTGTCTGGTGTGTTAATTTCTTTCTTTTTTTTTTTTCTTTTTAATTTATTTATTCATGAGACACACACACACAGAGAGAGACAGAGAGAGAGAGAGGCAGAGACACAGGCAGAGGGAGAAGCAGGCTCCATGCAGGGAGCCCAATGTGGGACTGGATCACAGGACTCCAGGATCACGCCCTGGGCAGAAGGCAGGTGCCAAACTGCTGAGCCACCCAGGGATCCCCTGGTGTATTAATTTCTATATGCCCATCACAATGTGTGACATGTAGCAATATGTAGGCACTCAGTAGGTACATATTGAATCACAGAATATTATAGCTAGAGACAATGAAGACCATTTACTCCCAGCTCCTACTTTTAATTAGCATTTCAAAATGGATATTGTTAAACAGTGGTAGGCTGTACTTATGTTTATTAAATTTTTCTTCATATTAATCTCAGGAACTTAAATAACATTAAATCACCTTTTATGAGCATGCATGTAAAATATAATCAGATTTAGAAGGGATAATATTCACCTTTTTAGAGCAAATTTACAAAAAAAAAAAAAAAACTGACCAGTGGAGGTTAAAAAAAGAATAAAACCTTTCCTACGAATGGATTAGTTCAGACTATTTCCTGTATCCTGAATAATATCTGGTGGCTTTAGAAGGAACCTTATCGCCTTTGTCTCCCTTTTTCTATACAAAACTGGTTGCTTTTCTGCCTCAAAAAAAAAAAAAAAAAGATAGAAAGAAAAAGAAAAAATAGATGGAAAGAGTAAAATAAGCAAAATTATTTTTTTAAGATTACAAAGCATGAAGAAATGGAGGAAAACTCTTATAAACATAGTAAGTAGGGAAGTTCTAGGATCAAAGGGAATGATCTATAATGGACATAATAGCACTATATATATAATATATATATATATAGGAATGCACAGTGTTTAAAAAATAACCATGTGGGAAAGGTACTGCTATTATGCTGATTTTAAAAAAAGAAAACAAAGTTCTTGGTATTCTTCATGTGCTTATGGTCATAATAGTATTGGAAGTTTTTGATCAGTTGTTCAGTGAATTAAAATGGAATCTGTACACTTTTTAACTAAGTTTAAAAAGTAATATTCACTCATTTATTGAATATGTTCTATGTATTCGAAATTGCCTAATTTTACATACTTTAGCTTATAAAAGATGTTCTTATTTATTAAATGACTATTTTCCATAATTGATGCTAAAATTGACCACCATTGTGCCTGTTTCATTGTAATGAGCTAGAATCATATCAGAATACTTTCAACAATTCATGAAGTTATTTCTAATAGCTCTGTTGTTTTTAATTCATTTATTTGTAGAGGCATTTCTTTTTCTCTTATAAGATTACTAGGAATTATGTATTCTCTGTCTGTGTTTGGCTCTTGTTGCAAATAATGGTGTGGTAAGGTTCAGAAACACACCTAAAATCACATTTTCAAAGTTGTGAAAAATAACCCATACTAAAGAGACGTGAGAGGAAGCACTGTGAATGGACTGCTAACCAATCCTTAGGCCACTACTCTGACTTGATATTATATCTGGATTCTGATTTTTGCAATTTTTTTTTGTCCTACACTAGTAGTATGACTGCACAAGAGTTTTTCTTTATCTTTTTTTAAGTCAAAGCATCATTTTACTTACTACTCCTTGCTGTTTCTGAAAGAAAAGAACACCATTCTTAAAATACAGCTTCTGAGACTTTTTAAAAAATATTTTATTTATTTCTTTATGAGAGATACAGAGAGAGAGAGGCAGAGACATAGGCAGAGGGAGAAGTAGGCTCCATGCAGAGAGCCCAGTGTGGGACTTGATCCTGGGACTTCAGGATCATTCCCTGGGCCGAAGGTAAGCCACCGAGCCACCCAGGGATCCTCTAGACTTTTAAATATATGTTGTGATTTATTCTAAACATCTTAAACTATCTGAAAAAAAATTAACCACATGGTGACCTTACTGCTTATATCCTGTAGACAAATTTCTTTTTTTTTCTATATTTTTATTGGAGTTCGATTTACCAACATATACTATAACACCCAGTGCTCATCCTGTCCAGTGCCCCCTCACTGACGTCACCCATTCACCCAATCTCCTGGCCACTTCCCCTTCCACTACCCCTTGTTTGTTTCCCAGAGTTAGGAGTCTCTCATGTTTTGTC